GCTTCAACTACCAGGTCACTGAAACCACCACAGGTCACTGTCACTACTACTACTACCACCACCACCACCATCAACGCTACCACAATTACCACCACCAGTATCCCCACTACCACCACCAGTATCTCTACCACCACCACCATCTCTACCACCACCACCAGTATCTCTACCACCACCACCATCTCTACCACCACCACCATCTCTACCACCACCACCACCACCAGTATCTCTACCACCACCATCATCATCATCCACCTGTCGAACGGGGTTTCTAAAAGTTGATTTTTCCCACGGTTGAAAGTGGACAGGTAATTTAAAGTTGAAGATGGCCGTGGTTGATCGTGGTGACGTGCTGGCCGCCTCCCTGACACCACACGTCTCTGCAACGTTGGAACCAAGTTTCTCTTTTCCCATTCCTAAACACGTCAGGAGAGAAGTCTTGTAAAAATATATCGTAATGTTGGAACGTAGTATTTTTCTCGATCTTATATATTTCCTGATTACGGTCGTTTAAAAATGTCATTGGATTTTTTACCCTAATTTCAGTATTGTAATATTTAGTCTTCTACAATATACAACAATATCAGAACAGTTTTTTCTAGTTCTGAAAATTTCAGGATCGATCATAGGTTCATCTGTTCCCAAGACTTATCATTTTACCCATAGACTTATCATTTTACCCCTAGACTTATAAAATTTTCCATAGGCTCATCAATTTTTTCCCCTAAACATAAATTTTCCCGTAGTGTCTTAAATTTTCCCCAAGACTCCTCAATTATCCCCCCTAAACACATCAAATTTTCCCCTCGACTTACCTGTTCACTCCCCCGACCACACAGAGAACCTCCTCACCACAGAAACTGTGGGCGGGGTGAGGGTAGCGCAGTACTGCCAGCGCTGGCGACCTTGTGTGGTGTACGCCCAGAAGACCTACCTTAGTAGCGTCTTAGTCCTGGGACACCTGACCGTCCAAGACAACAGGTAGTTATACTTCAGTGTTGATTATATCATTATTATCGAGTAATTAAACCACCACCCTTGAGCAATTAAACCACCACCCTTGAGCAATTAAACCACCATCCTTGAGCAATTAAATCACTATCCTTGAGCAATTAAACCACCACCACCCGAAGGTAGTTAAACCTATAACCATCGATCCAAAGACAATTAAACCTTGACTCTTTTTAACCAACTTCTTAAAAATACAAAATTATAAAAAAATATTAATATTTATTCTGGGTATTTGTGACCTCGCCCTCCCTTGTGGCAGGAAGGTACAGGGTGTGGACGTGTCTGTTTCCCTCAGCACCTGGTTCAGTAGGACTTCCTGTGGTCATATCCCTGGCATCACCATCTTCAGGAGCACCATCTTCACCACCTTCGTCACGTGAGTATGACCATTAGTGTTGGTATCTACTCCTATCTTCATCTATGCCTTCCTTCATCTGCTCCTTCCTTCACCACCCCGACTTTTTCTGTCAAATGTTGTACCGTACTTCATCCCTTTGAGTACGACGATTTGACCCCTCGAGTACAATGATATAGTTCTTGGAGATACACAGTGATATCTCCATTAGCTGGAACAATTGGTGCAGATCACTTCCGGGAATGAGAGCTTTCCGGGTAACGAGACGACACTCTCAAAGCCGGAAAAAATCCCTCCTCCTCGGAATTTTCCGGGTTTCGGGAAAATTTAATCAAAATTTTCCGGAAAATGTGCCCCTCAGGAAATCGTTCTCAAAGCCGGAATTTTCTGGAAAATTCCGGCTTTGGGAACGATTTTCCGAGAAAATTTCAATTCCGAATATCGGAAAGTTCCAGGTTTGAGGGATTCCGGCTAACGGAGATATTGTATTTATATGTATTACAATTGAAAAGCTGGGCATGCAACACTTAAGTAATACACAGACCCTCTTTTTACTGAATACAAAAGTCTCTTCACTTAAAGCCTTCGAACCTAGGAAAGATAATTGTAAGTTATGATTTAATACATATATTTAATTTGGTTTAATATGGTTTTATAAAGTGTTTTTGTTTAGAATTTGTCTTTCTCTTTTTTTTCATATCACTCTGTGGTGATGACGTGGTGACGATCTCTTCCCTCCTGGTGACAAACTCTTCTTTCCTGGTGACATATTAATGACGTTCTGTTCTCTGTTGATGACGTGGTAATGACGTGATCGTGACCTGTGACGCGCTGGTGGACCACAGAGTATACGGGTCAGTGGACAGTATCCAAGTCGCCTCAGGTTATCTGTTGACCCTCTCAGATAACCAGACATTGCCGGGCTCCCTCAGCGTCACTACCAACCAAGGTCAGTCATCTTCACTATATCAAGAGTGGCCAGTGGTTACCTGTGACGTGTGTGGTGGATGTAGCAGCACCTAATAGCTTCTTAGTATTATATAAAGTTGTCATAAACTGTTTAGCTCACCACGTCAGGGTCAGCTTAGTAAACACAACATCGGAGCGAGTCAGTTAGCCACAACAAAATTAGGCCTGAGCTAGCAAATTCCTCTCAGGGTCGAACCTTAAGATGATCAGTGTATACAACCACTGTGGCTAATAGCTCTCCTCTGAGGTAACACTTCCCTGCTCAAAGATGGTGGTGATAATAGTAATAATTAGTACTGCAATACAAAATATTGATATTAATAACGATATGAGCAATAACAATACTCTACATGTTCAGGTGTGGGTGAAAGTTTTGGTACAGGTGTGGTGTATTACAGGTGTGCGTGTCGTTTCAGGTGTGTGGTGCCGGGAGGTGTGGACCCACGACGGTTTATTCAATTCCATCAATCTGACAGAGCTGTCGATCAGGATTGTGAGTGGTAGTGATGGCAGTAGTAGTGAGTGGTGGTGGCCGAAGTGGTAATGGTGGTAGTGGAAATACTTGATCGTCCTGAGTATCAAAGCACCTTATAGATATCGTTCACTGAATTAAACTAAATATGACATCCATAGCATAAATGAGGCATAGTTTAGATGAATATACTCTTAAGATATACAGCCATCTCACACTATGATTCTTTGGTAATGAATCTGATGAATCTGAGACTTCGTAAGACAACTAAACGACCCTTTCCATGTCGCTGTCTTACTTCTCTTTACATTTCGATAAGTCAATTTTATCATCCCATCTGTAAAATTATCCAGACTCGACAAGACCAGCAAAAGAGACTAAACCTCCCTCTCTGTCTTCCTCTCCTGTACAGTTTCGTCAAGGCAGCACCAACACCCTCAACCATCGCATATATTTCAAGAATGCGGTGAACTTCCTGGACGCCAACTACCGCCCTGGGGACATGTTCTCCCTCAGCACCCGCTTTCTCAGTCTGCCAGCCCTCATGAAACCCTTCTGGCACTCCTTCACCCAACTTGGCAGTCTCGGCCTCCAGAGCAAGTGGGGTGTTGAAGGTCGGTGGTGGTGAAGCTAAGTGAGAGGCTTTAAGGGGGTCGAATCCGAGTGGTTTATTTATATTAGTGTTTGGAATTTATTGTTGGGGGGGGGGGAAGGGTTGACAGAGGAGGAGACGGAACGGGAGTTAAGGGGAGTGGGAGAACTGAGGGAGAGAAGAGGAGAAAGGAGGTTGAAGTAATAGGAGAGATGAAAGAGAGAAACTAGAGGCAGATGAGTTAAAGGAGAGAATTAAGAGAGAAGAGGGAGACGGAGAGAGAGAAGGGGGAGACAGAGAGAGTAGGAGAGAGGCAGTGTTAAAACAACGGATATTAACATTAAAACACTACTTCTCTCAGGGTCACGTCAGGTCAATGAGTATTGGGGTTGGCGCAGCATACAGAGGTTCGAAGGGCCACCAGAGCGGATCATCCCCCTTAGGATGGACTGGGGGAAGACTGGCACTGGCGATGGCACCCTGGCACTCTCCTCCAACTACCTGGCACTTGTCAAAAACTTGGGTGACACCTTGATCCTCGAGTATGATTCACACGCCGACAAATACAAATTTTTAGGTGTGGATTATTTTTGGCTCTGTATATTGTTTTTTCATTGAATATATTATTTGTGATAGTTTTATATTTGTTGTATATTAATGACTAATTATATACACTATTTTCATCACGTTACGACCACATAATTCACTAGATCCATGTGGGTGTTTACAGACCTGGTGCTTCCTGGTAACTGCACCAGTAGTGTTGTGGGCTTCACCACGGCTCACGGACTGCAGTGTGTGGTGACTGGCCACGCATGTTCCTTCTACAACACTACCAAGCTAAACATATCCAAGCGCTCTTACTTGGTTGCTACGCCTGAGGTACGTCATTATCTGTTTGTGCAATCTATTCTACCGCAATTATAAACTAACCCTACCTATCTTAACCTAACCTTACCTAACTATTTAACCTAATCTAATAAACTAACATAGTACTGTAAATCTTCTCAGCCAAACGTGGAGGGGGACAAGAAGGCCCATGTATGGAAGATCTCCTCCCAGGGTGCCATTTTGGCCTCTTCCTTCCCGGTCCCAGGTGTTGCTGACATGCAGGTGAGCCTTAGGTGACACTCTTTCATAAATTCAATCACAGGTGGCACTATATTTCATCAGAGTGCCAAGATCTGCTGATACGCAGGTAAACATTAGCTGGCACTAGATGTCATTAACCTGTAACTGTGACACCATCTCCTGGGCAGGTGGTGATGGCGGGTCAGGTGGTGTGCCTGGTGGTGGTGGAGGCTCGTGGCACCGACACTGTAGTCATGTGTGAGGGTTCAGAAGGATTCGTCGAGCGCCAGCGTATACGAACTAACAACCCTACGAAGGTGAGCAACACACGACTACCAATGCCACCAAGGTAACCAACACATGTACTGCCAACACTACAAACACAGTGTAAACCCGGAGGTAAGGCTTATTTTCCCTCACACAAAACATCCATCAGTCGTGTTAGGAAGAACATTCATAGGGCTGACAGCATACAGCCCGAGAAAATATATTTTTGTATCCTTCTGTAACTCTGACCTGTTATGTAGGTGTCGGTGGCTCGTCATCGTGACCACTCTGGACAGATGACCACCATCATGACCCTGGCTGACCCCGGCAGCTCCACCATGGACGAGGGGTCCATCTTCGTGTACGCCTACAACGACGAATACAACTGGTTCTACCTACTGCAGGTGTGTGGTCGTCTTTGGTAGGTCTAGAGTGGTCAGGTGTGGAGTACCAGGTGTATGTGTGATCGCATCTTGAAGGTGTACAAGATAAAAATGACAACACTAATTCCAAACCATACCTGCCTTATTATTCCTCTTATAATTTCTTTCATAAATACAAACATGGCTAAAAATCTGTGGTGGTCTGATAACATGAGCTTAGTCGGAAGTAAGAAAAAACTGTAGGAGATACACGCCTTAGGGACACCCTCTAACCCTGATTTTTTTTGTCTTGATGTGTTGGTCAGGAGGTGCACCTGGAGAACGTGGTGTGGGTGGAGTTGGTCTCTTACAACACTGATCTCCTGCTGGTGGCCGTAGCTGAGGACGTACACGGTGACCAAGGGAGCATGGTCATCCTCTACAGGTCAGTACCTATCTCAGGTACTGTCCGGTATTTTCACTCGTGTGTGTCTAAAAATGTAAACAAATATGAAGATTTGTCTTCAGTATGAGCTACTTTAGTGAGGGTAACATAGCGTGTGTGAGTCGAGGGTGCAGTAACCAGCCCATAATGAGAACGGGTTTTGGCCACGGGAGAAAAACACCTCTTAATCAGTCAGTCAGGAAAGATGTTTGTAGACTAAATATTACAACTTAAAAGTGAAAACTACTACATAAATTAATCTTTCAGAATGGATTGGTTTAGCGGGGACGGTGTTACTCCTCTTGATCACCTGGACAGGGTTGTGGGGACAGCACCAACGACCCTGACCTCTAACATGACCTTCATCCTCATACAAGAACTGGAAGTCGAGTTGCCCACAGAGGCACACTTCACTGTGCTGCCCTCAGGAGACCTTAACCTGTATGTAATGAACCGTAACGGACTCCTTACCTGGTTCACTCGGATGGGGATGCAGAGGTGAGTGGTGGCCTGCAGGTGTGGTCCTCCTGTCTCTCTCTTTCCTCTTCCTACTGTCTCCCTCCATCCCTCCCTCTTCCTCCTGTCTCCTTTCTTGTCTCCCTCCGTCCTTCCTCTTTCCTCCTGTCTCTTCCCTCTTTTTCCTCTTCCTCCTCCTCCTCTCCCTCCTCTTCCTCCTCTTCCTCCTCCTCCTCTCCCTCCTCTTCCTCCTCCTCCTCTCCCTCCTCTTCCTCCTCCTCCACCTTTTCCTCCTCCTCCTCTCCTCCTCCTCCTCCTCTCTCCTCCCTCCTCCTCCTCCTCCTCATCCTCTCCCTCCTCCTCCTCCTCATCTCTCCTCCTCCTCCTCATCCCCTCCTCCTTTCCCTCCTCCCCCTCCTTTCCTCCTCCCCTCCTCCCCCTCCTTTCCCCTCCTCCTCCTCTTCCTCCTCCCCTCCTCCCTCTCCCTCTTCCTCCTTTTCCTCCTCCTCCTCTCCTTCCTTCTTCTCTCCCTCTTCCCTTCTCCTCTCCCTCCCCTCCCTCTCCCTCTCCCTCCCTCCTCTCCCTCCTCTTCCTTCTCCTCTCCCTCCTCCTCTCCCTCCCCCTTCTCCTCCTCCTCCTCTCCCTTCTCTCCTCTCCTCTCCCTCCTCCTCTCCACTTCTCCCTCCTCCTCCTCTACTTCTCCTTCTTCCTCCTCCTCTACTTCCTCCTCCTCTTCTTCTCTCTCCTCCTTCTCCTCTCCTTCCTCCTCATCCTTTTGCGCTACCGCTCACAGGATGAGTGTGGGGTGCACAATAAAGTAGCCGCTGTAAGCGGCAAAATAAAAAATCCTCTCCTTCCTCCTCCTCCTCCTCTCCTTCCTCCTCCTCTTCCTCTCCATCTTCCCTTTCCTTAGGATTAGAAATATAAAACAAAGTGAGAGAAAATGAGGAAAGAACGAGAGAGAGAGAGAGAGAGAGAGAGAGTAAAAGAAAATCGTAATAGTGTGTCCTTATCAACTTCAAATACTGTTCGTATTCACAGATTCAGGAAGGCAGGGGAGCTCCACGTGCCTGGCAAGCTAAGACTGGAGGTCTGGCTCACTCGCCACGGCCACACCGTCGTCCACAGACTCTCAGTGGCTGGCCAGAGCTGCTCAGACTCTACACAGGACATCCCTGAATTGCCCGGAGAAGTGCTGGAGATGAGATTTAGGCCCTGGAAGTGAAAGTTAGGGTCTGGAAGTGAAAGTTAAGGTCAGAAAGTGAAAGTTAAGGTCTGGAAGTGAAAGTTGGTTCTGGAAGTGAAAGTTAGGTGTCTGGAAGTGAAAGTTAGGTGTCTGGTAGTGAAAGTTAGGTGCCTGGAAGTGAAAGTTAGATACCTGGTAGTGATGCCTTAACACTTAGTTTGTTAAATTATTATTGCCAGAGATTAGTTAACTGACGATGACTACTGAATCGCGTGAGATGATTTGTTAACTTAATACCTGTTTGTTGGACCATGTTAGCTAAAATTAGTTAACTCTACTGTATCGTGTGTGAGACGAGTTGTTAACTGATTACATAGTTTTAACTTGTGTAAACTTTGATAGCTATTGAATCGTATGAGAAGAGTTGTTAACATACCAGCGTGCTAACAAACCATTTAATTTTAGTTAACTCTACTGAATTATGTGATTAACCGTAAACTGAATATCTAGTTTAACCCATATTAGCAATTGTCAGTTAACTATTGAATGTTAACAAAATAATGTACATCGTGTGTTGAGATAAAAATACCGAAATAAAAAAAAATAAAAAAAATTCAATAACTCGAGTCAAATATATTTTTGCTTGTAATTATTTTAATAAATTTTAAAGATGTATTTATCGCTCTTGTGTTTTTTTCTTATTGTATGTTGTTTGTTTTAGAGTTTGTTTATATATATATAGTTTATCATTAAATATATATATTATAGTATGTGTGTGTTTGTTTTCACGTTATGGTTTGAATATTTCATGTTTATACAATTGAGGAAAGCATGGAAATATAATGATGTTTTCTAGTCATTTTCTGCCTTATTTCAACTGGGGTGTCTTGTCACATTTGATCTTCATACTCTTGAAAATCCGTAAAGTGAATGATACAAGATGAGGCTTTTATTTCCCTTAATTCTGAACCTTCGTGTATGTAAATTAGTAACAAATGGATAAAGGAAGGTCTCATCAATATGAAGTATCTTGTTAAGTACAAATATCATCACACAACGCTAACTGTAAACAAATGAAACGCGAATATTTATCAACATTATAACTGCTGTTGGTTCCTTAATCTGCCTGTGTACCTGTGTGTAATCCTTTCATCTGACGGACATCGTAGAACACGCGCGCGCGCACACACTCGAAGAGAGGGAAGGAATAAAGTGGGGTGAAACGAAGATAAATGGAGAATAAGGAAGAGTAGTGACGGAGAAAGGAAGAAAAAGGAAAAGGAGGGGACAAAGGATGGATGGAAGGAAGAAGCGAAAGGGGGGGGGAGGGAAAGGACAGGAAATGAGGGAAAAACAAGACGAATGAGAAGAAATGAGGAAGGAAAAGGAATGGTATACATATAAACTACAAGATCATTTTGTTTAACTGTGTGAGGTTATTCCACCCAACACAGGTTCAATGGCCATTAAGCTGTCGAGAGCTATGATTGAATGTTTGGCACCAGTTGCACGAACAAGTCCCTGACGACGAGTTGTGAGTCTAGACCTGGGTGGGGGTGGTGTCACGCTGGCCCTGGTGCCATTATGGGAGAGGAAAGGCAATGCTATTTGGTGCCATCATAAACAGCCGGGCATGATGAGTGTAGTATTTTGGTGTCATTATAAACATACGGGTCATGGCACCATAATATAAAGAGGGTAGTATTTTGGTGCCAGAGAGGAGGTTAGTTGCCTTCTGGTGCCACCATATAAGGAGTGCCATTATAAACGCGGACTTCAGGGCCATTATAAGAAGAGGGGTTATTGAGTCTATACCAAGCTGGCACTTCACGTCATTTAAATGTTGAATCGATGTAGAAATAACGCCATTTCAGCGCTGAATCCACGTTGAGTTAAAGTAATTCTGGTTAAAAGTGAATCATAAGATGTAATTTATATTTGTGGAAGGGAGGGCGAGGGGAGGAGGAGGGAGCATTTGAGAGGGAGGAGAGAAGAAATGGTTTGTAGGGAGATTTGGAATTAGGGAAAAGGGGGAGGGATTGAGAGGGAGGGAAGAAGGTAGGTAGGAAGGGATGGATAAAGGGAGGGGGGGAGGATGCGAGATGTATTCGGTATTGACCACAGTGGATTTTTTTGTTCTCTTGATAGACAACAGAACTCAGCTTCCTCCTCTCTACCTCCTCCCTCCTCCCTCCTCTCATCCTCCTACCCATCTTACCCTGTCCTCTTCCTCCTCCGACATTCGTCCCTCTCCCTCTCCTTCCCTCTCTTCGTCCCTCTCCCTCTCCTTCCCTCTCTTCGTCCCTCTCCCTTTTCCTCCCTCTCCCTCTTCCTCTCCAGTTTGACCCCTGACGCCACAATAAACAGTCAGTTCGTTGTAGTTTGGCGTTCCCTGCAGGCCAGTCTCTCCTCCCCTGTCCATCTTGCCGTTTAAGCCAGCCACACACTCTCTCTCTCTCTCTCTCTCTCTCTCTATCTCTCTCTATTCGTATATACAATAGCCCTTTATCTCCCACTCATTTTTCCCCTCTTCTCACTGTCGGATTTATTCCTCCCCCTCACCTCCTCTCTCCTCTTCCTCCACTTCCTTTGACTCTTCCTTCTCTTCCTGCTCCTCCACCACTACCTTCTGTTCTTCCTCTCCCGTCTCTTCCTCCCCATCTTCTCCATTTCCTTCTCCTCCATCGTCTTCTCTTCTTATTTCTCCTCTTCCCCCTCCTCCTTCTTCTTCTTCTTCTCCTTCTTCCTTTATCAATCATTCATCATATATATTTCTATCTACATCATTTCATCTGTTTGTTTGTTAATTGACTTATCTCCTGGTTTATTGCCTCTTCCCTCTGTGTCAACCATTCGTAACCTGCATTTATTATTGTCTCTCTCTCTCTCTTCTTCCCTCTTCTTCCTCTTGATTTAACCCATTGTTCTTCGTCTCTGCCTTTCACTTCTCTTTTCTCTTAATTCTCATTTTGCTCTCTCTCTCTCTCTCTCTCTCTCTCCCCTTCCATTCCCTTGTCGCTCCTTCCTTCACCCCCTCTATTCTTTCTTCCCCCATTCATTCTTCTATCTTTTCTCTCCTACTCCCTCTCTCCGACCCTCCCTCTCTCCATCCGTGCAGACGAGGAGTTCACGTTACATGACACTGAACTAGGGAGAACACTAATCCAGTTTACATTACTAATTATGGACCACCTTGTTCCCCAAACAATTTTCGACCAGCGTAATTCTATTATAAATCACCACGGTGTGTATGTACTGTATGTATGTATGTATGTTTGTATGCATGTATGTTTGTATGTATGTATGTATGTATGTATGTATGTGTCGCCAGGTCCCCACGCTAATGGTACCCTGAATTATTAAGGTCTTCAGGGTTATACTACGGCACAGGGCCACTAACACTCGGATATAAGCCTTGCCTAACCCCCCCACCCCCCCCATAAAATAAACTGACCTGTATGTCTGTTTGTCTGTTAGGGGCACACAGACAGACCTCCAGACGGCTCAATACACTATTAAACGTCTGTATACGTCTGTGAAATTTTGTCTTTTATAATTCTATTAAGGATTTTCTATTCATTTAACACACAAAATAACACTGCAACTGAATCAACTTTTGGTCTGTGAGAATTTTAGTAAACAGACAGTCTATTGGATCCTACACAGACAAGTTTCTGTTAGTACGTGAAGAAGAAAGAACAAGATTCGTCCATTGGAATTCTGTCATCATTGTGTTGAGGCCTCGAGGCTTTATTAAATTTGAAAAGGAATGGAGAAAAGGCCCCACCTCGTCGCCCCCTCTCTCCATTTACCCCTCCCTTTCCTCCTTTCCATTTTCCACCCCCCTCTCTTCCTTCCTTCCCTTATTACCCCTCTCTCTTACCTATCCATCCCTCTCCCTCACCCGTCCTCCCTCACTCGCCCAGCCCTCTCCCCGTCACTCGCCCAGCCCTCCCCTCACCCGTCCACCCGTCTCCTCGCCCCTCTCTCCCTCACCCGTCCAGCCCTCTCTCCTCACCAGTCCAGCCCTCTCCCCTCACCCGTCCATCCCTCTCCCTCGCCCCTCTCCCTCACCCGTTCAGCCCTCTTCCCTCACCAGTCCAGCCCTCTCCCCTCACCCGTCCACCCGTCTCCCTCGCCTCCTCTCCCTCACCCGTCAGCCCTCTCCCCTCACCAGTCCAGCCCTCTCCCCTCACCCATCCACCCGTCTCCCTCGCCTCCTCTCCCTCACCCGTTCAGCCCTCTCCCCTCACCAGTCCAGCCCTCTCCCCTCACCCATCCACCCGTCTCCCTCGCCTCCTCTCCCTCACCCGTTCAGCCCTCTCCCCTCACCAGTCCAGCCCTCTCCCCTCACTCTCCACGTCTCGTCCTATTTCCCGGGTGCCGCTAAAACGCCCATAGGAGGCCCGGAATACCAAATGATGAGCTAATTGTGACTCGGGACTCTAGCCTCTGGGTCACCTCGCCTCAGGGGTCAGATCAGCGACTCTTTCTTTATTAGTCTTCAACAACGTGGCAATTCAGGGCTCGATTGCAATATTCTTCTCCTGTGAGGGACGTGTGTGTGTGTGTGTGTGTGTGTGTGTGTGCTTAAAATTGACAGACAAATTCTTATGGAGGTGTTCGAATCCTTTGATAATGATTTTCGAATTGCTTGTTCTGACCAACTGAGTGGCTACGATGGGATGTGTTCGGTTCTGTGGTGTCTGACTTGGTAATGTTGAATGATATGTAGGACAGACAGACAGACAGACAGACAGACAGATTTTCCTGGCAACGATTGGTCAGTTGGGATCCAGTCTTAATCGGTCCAACCTAATCCAACTTTATCAGATGGCCTTGAATCCTGTGCTAATAGACCCACTTCTTGTGGGACTCAGTCTTAATAGCATTAGGAATTTCATGTGGAAATATACACAGGTAAACAGGTATGTTAAGTTGTATATGAAAGAATTATTATTATTTTTGCCTCAGACGTCACACAAACAACAGATAAATAGTAAATAAACAAAGGATCAATTCACGAGTCTCTAAATCTATTCCGCGGACCTCCGACCACCCGTGAGCGTCGCCGAGGTGAAGATGGCTCCACCGGTCACAGGAATTCCCGAAGAGCTGAGGATATAAAACCGTAGTGTCCCCGGCGTGCAGGTCTTGGCCCGCGCCTGCATATTAGACGGTAAAGGCCCCTGCGGCGGCCCTCAGCTCACCAGATGTCGGGGATAAAGTGTATTAGCGTGGGCGCGTCTCAAGCACCACGCCCCGCCGATGAGAAAAGTTCGTTGCGTTCCGGCCAATATGAGCCGGAGGCGACACAAGAACAGATATTGTTCTTTCCAACTTCCCCCAACGAGAGTTCTCCGCCAGGACGTCCACAGCCGTACGAGGTGTTTGTACATAAGGCCGTAGCGAGAGGGGGGCTTAGGTGGGATTGTCGCCCTTGCGTCTAGGTGCTTCTTGTGACTGTCTGCGGCGGCACTTTCATGATAATTTTAATCAACACTCTGACAATCGACTGTCGCCTCCGTTTTCATTTGTATGTTAATTTCGTCCCTGACGT